CTACTTGCGACGCCCACCAGGCTTCACATGATCTTTCGTTCTTAGGACCTAGTGGAGCCTGCACCCCCCTGTCTACGGATGCCCCATAAGTGGCACGACAAGCTCTGCACTACACTCGCGACTCTCTACTTTTTCCCGTCCTCTGTTGACCCCTCGCTCTTTGTTCGTGCTGGTCAGACTCTGTTCTACATACTTGTGTACATAGACGACCTTATCTTTGCTACACCAGACAGAGTCGCACTAGCCGAGCTACTCAGATGACATGCTTTTATAGACCTGGGAGAGCTGTAGCACTATCTGGGAATGGAGATCTCTCGTGACCGTGCAGCTCGCTGGGTCACACTCTCCCAGTCCCACATGATGCAGTAGATCCTCCAGAGGTTCGGACTTCAATTGTTTTCCGTATAGCCCACTCCCTTGCCTGTGGACTACAAGCCCTCAGCTCCTATTTTTGGTGAGCAGGTGAAGTCTAGCATAGCTAGTGGGGTGACTTGCATGTACCTGATGACTTGCATTCGTCGAGATCTTGCATACCCTCTCAATATCCTTACTTGCTTCATGCAGGCTGGCAGACACCGACCAGAGCACTGGTCGGCTGCCAAGAGGGTGTCACTTCGATCCAATGTACTTTTTTGGATTTTTTTTGTTGTAAACACACTCACTATGTGCCCCTCCCAAATCGTACCACCATTAAACATTAAGGCTTAATGTATAGTGGTCTTATAGCCTAAAAACCCAAATTAATGCAAAACATACGGACAATTGTTTCCGCCACTATATCTGACGAGTGCATCAGGACTGAGGCTTGAGCTGGGATGACGGGAGCCTGCGGTCCTCAATGGACACATAGACGCATCGTGGGCTGACGACTTGGAAGCACTCAGGTCTTCACAGAGCTGCTCCTTTAGCCTTGGTGCGGGTGCACTCTCGAGGCGGTCCACAAGGTCATTGTCTGTAGCTCAGTCCAGTTATGAGGCAGAGATCTACGCTGGTAGTATGGACGCTAAGGAGCTTTGCTGGCTGACGTTCCTGCTCACTGACTTAGGTGAGCGGTCTAGGCTTGCCTCGGCCCTGTTTGCTGATAACAGTGTCATGATCATCATGTGTCAGAAGGCTTGACTTGAGGGCAAGGCCAATCACATTCAGCTGCGGTACTTCCTGCTGCGTGAGTTGTAGCTGCGCGGCCAGGCACGTGTAGTACAGTTGGCCTCAGAGGCCAACACTGCTGATATCTTCACCAAGGCCCTTGGGCCTCATGACCATCAGCGGTTTTGTAGTCAGCTTGGTCTAGTCCTAGTTGGCCCTCCCTTGCTTGTGTCCTAATCTGTACTAAACTGTTTTTTATTTGTTGCTCTATACCGTTGGTCTTGTAACACTTGCTAACTGGCCTTCTGGCCCTTGACTCAGTGGTCAGACTAGTAGTGCTGCCTTGAGCTGTTTGTTATATGCTCAAGAGGCCAGACTAGTATTGCTGCCCTGGATTGCTGTATCTTGTTAGACTTTGCCCATACCTAGGCTAGTTGGTGTATTAGAGTCTTATATATTCATTATTGCCAGGTATGTATATGAACTATAGCCTAGCTAGGTGCCTTTTATTTAGGGTACAAAATTTAGACACAAATCTGTTGTTCCCCGTGCCCCAGTCAATTTTTCTCTCGCGATACATATGTGGTCTACCTGAGGTATTGGCATTTGATTCTCAAATATTATTTATCCGTATGGATGGGAAAACCAAACGAGCTTATACCATATAGAGCTCAAAGGTCGAGGTTTGGACAAATAAAGGATCATACACACGTTTGAGGGTTAGATTGTATGCTTCCCTAAGTTTTTTTGCATAGGTGCATATTGAGTATGCAGTTCCCTAAGTTAGCATAGTCTTCACATGAATTGCATAAACCAATACCAAATTCACTTTTTTAACGGGGATGCACCGAGAGGTCCTCTGAAGTAGAGTTGATTGCTTGAGCTCTTGCCACATAGGGTTGATTTATGTTTTTTGGCCACTCACAAATCCGGATTCATGGGAGCTGAATCCTCAGTTTTAGGGCTCGAATGATCCGCACTCTCAAGTGTAGGGCGCAGCTGAATCCTCCCATTGGAAGAGAATGGGCGTGGGGGCAGTGCATTCGGTTCGCACTTTGGCGGTTATATATATATATATATATATATATATATATATATATATATATATATATATATATATATATATATATATATATATATATATATATATATATATATATAATGCTGATGGGTCAACCTGATCACCTATTGACTTCACACCACGTCGCAACAGCACGCCTTGTAATGGCTTCCCCGCCATGGTTCTCTCCCCGTAGTTCAGGGCTCTCAATGTCCGCTCAGACGCCATCAATTGTTGCATGTGACACAACCATTGGAATCAGTTTGGGAAACTGGTTAAATTGACCTAACATTGGTGCTCACACAGAGAGCATCGGATCTATTTCCAAGTTTTTGCAGATTACCAAAGTCTAGTCAGTACGAGAACGACCGAGCAGGTCTCTCCCTGGATTTCACATCAACTCATGGCTGCCAAGTAACAAGCATTCTTATTTCAAGACATCGAAATGCGAACAAGCTGCACGGAACTGCTTTGAATGTCCCAAGAAGGACACCACGGTTGAAGATACGTCAAGGCGGCGTCCAGGATGGCAACATAATATAAATCCAAGTGCAAGTCACGGTTGGAAATTCAAGTACAAAGGAGCTCCTCAATGGAACGTCTTCAGATTATCGCCATTTTCTACCATTCAATGAATTTCAACGTCAACGCATGAGCACATGCCCCGGAGAGACGGATCTGCCCAAGGTCTAACCAGAAAGCGATTGTTGGAAATGTCATGCGAATCCAAGCGACGTCATCACTATCTCTGTCAACTTCACCCGCATGTATAGCCTTAAACTCACGGCAACTGACAACGGTTTCAAATCGCAGGCTGGACCCTCCAAAGGAAGGAGTTGTTTACGATTCTATCCAGCATGAAAACTTGTCAGCAGAATTTCCCTAAGGAAAACTACCAGAGGGAATTACGTTGACGGAGTGTGAAGAAGTACCATTTTTTAACACGACAGTTGTAGAAAACGAAGACGATACCGATTTCATCACGATCCTAAATGATAAGGCAAAGAAAGCCGATGCAGGAGGCATTGTGAAGATATATGATTTACAATTGTCAAACCAGGTGGATCTCAACGCCGAGAAGCTACAAGAAGTTTTCATGAAGTTAGAAGACACGGATCTAGCCTCGCGGCACACTACCTACAGAACAAAGGGAGAGCTAACGACCACACATGCGCTAGGGTCAGCTGCTTAGTGCCCGATCGGATTTTCGTCAGGAGGAGGTCTGGCACATCGCTATCTCGATGAACGGCCAAATCCGTTGGGGAACTTCTTCCGTGAAGAGACAGCTAGAACAGAACTAGGTGCTGCTGCAAGTCCTCTGCACCGCATTCGACAGAGACCATTGGGAGCTGTTCATTCTACAACAACCCACATGCAGTTGGGAGAGTGCCTGCTTGCAACTGATGCATAAACCGCTCTTCACCACTCTCAAAAGAATGCAACGACTGCTGCAACCGATCTTCACCGCTTCCAGCAAGAAGGACCCCGTTCAGTTCACCTACAATTGTGGAGAGCCAACACTGCAAGACGAACTCCAAACGAGCAAGATGAAACTTTTAGGCACCTGGTTTTTAAGCCCCTTTAGAGTTTCCCGGAGGGTACGACACACTGTACAGCTAGGCCCTCCAGATTTGGTTACGACCGTGGGTGGTGTTTTTGCATAGTTAATGCACTTTCACCCTCTTCTAAAAAAACCCCCAGGTTAAATCACGCCCTATTATTTCTCAAAAAATACTCTATAGGAAATGAGATATGTGGATAAATTCCACACCCTTGCTAATTTACTGTTACTGCATTCAGGGTGGAAGAGAAATCACGCAGAATCTTAAGACCTCATTGAATAATGGTAGGGTTCAAATAATTCAAAACCTTTTATTTTCCACCTAAATTCAGGGGAGCTACTCTTGGAAAATAAGCACTGCTACCAGCCACCCACCTGCCCCTTCAATGAGTCAACCTGTTCCTGTGGCGTCTGGCCGAAATCGGCTGGCTGGCGCGCGAATGCGCCACATCAGCGATGTAGCATCACAGGGTGTGTTGCGTTCGTGGCTGGTTTGGCTCGGCTGGGGAATCGAGCCCCAAGCCGCGGCTTTGCTTTACGTGGCGTGCCAAGAGTTTCGCGTTCACGGATGCGATTCGGCCCTCGATCGCTCCGAGTCGTGAATGTGTTATAGAGAGAGTGCGTCTCCAGGCGTCCCGAGTCTGGTTTACAGCTCCTGTTTGTAGAACATTATACAACACATACCCGTAAACCAACCTAATTGTTGACCCTTTATTGGTCAATTTCGGCAGCTGGTATGGGAACTACCCAAATGCAAAATGCTGCATTCCCGCTCACACTCATCCAGCGCACCGGGGCAACTCCCCGCAAGGTCTATGTGGAGCAGGAGGAGCGAGCGATTTATCCCGTGCTTGCGGTTTGTTCTCCGTGACCCGTCCGTTCGGCTCGTATTGGCGCAACCCATGCAGCTGCTCCCTCTCCCTCACCACCACCATATTCTCGTCCCCCAACCCAACCCCCCAAAATCCCATCCCAGCCACCACTGTCATGACTCATGAGTCATGCCCCTCCCTTCCCTTGACCAATGACCACCACTCCGTCTGCAGTTACGCGGCGGCCCCTCACCTTAGTTTACCCCATCCCACCCCAAGCTCCTGTTCCTGCGCCCCAGTCCCTAAAATGCTTGCGTGGCGTGCTGCTGGCCCTTGTGCGCCCCTGCGCGCGCCTCGTCCGGTGGTGTTACCCTCAGTTGGTCCCTGGCTCACTCACCAAGCAAGCACCAAACCAAGCAGGCTACGCATGCAGGTCCCATCCCATTCCATCCATCCCATCCCATTCCATCCCCAACGCAACCAAGCCGAGTGACGATGGCCGCAAACGCCTCTCCTGGAATCGTAGCACCGCCCAAGTTACTTGCATTCTTGCTTGTCTGACGGATCCCATACTAGTCCCCTCTCTATAGCCAAGACCTAGGGTAGGGAGGAAAAGAGATACAGGGACAGTGAGAGAAGACGTCTCATTGATTGGCCGTTGGGGCGTTTGGGCAGTTACTCTGGAATGGCAAGAGGAGCCGAGAGGTTGCGCTTAGTTGAGTTTTTTGCGCCCTGTTTAGCATCAAAGCACAGCCCGCGTGCATCTTCGAGAAAGAAAAGCTGACATGAGACACTTGCGCCACGAGGAGCTTATAGTCCGCGCGCATCTTTATCATTTAGGTTTTGAAGCGCCACGATTGTTTCGCCTTGGCTCGTGCTCTAGTGCTTGTGCGCGATTGTCTCTAGGATCACCGCAGGGTCGCGCGCTAGTTCATCCGCCGTCTCTCCTCCATACCTCCTTACCTCCATACCTCGTGGAGGCCGACAGGGACAACTCTGCTGCTGCCGTCGACTTTGCGTCGCTAATCTGCTCGTTAAAGCCCCCTCGCTTCAACATGCCTGCTGGAGTCTGCTCGTTACAGACGGCTAAGTGACGTCCGCATCTTCCGGCCTGGGGCTTGACCTTATCGTGAGTGAGAGACCAGTCCAATGTTCATGTTTCCAGCGTCATACGCGTTGCGCGCCGAAGCGAAGCGCGGCGAGGCGCAATTGTACCATCCCGGTGCTGGTAGACTTGTGTCGTTCCAGGGAAAAAGGCGCTGTCTGTGGAAGCGCAATTGGCGCGAGGAATAGCAAAGCGCACACAGCTGCCGCGCTGTTTGTCACAGTCATAATCGATTGGGGCGTCATCAGGCGTGCAATTATCAAAAGGAATTCACCCGTGGTCCGTTGAGGCGCCGCGCGTGAGGCCATCGACGCCTAGTACGCGCACGCGCGAGCCTTGCTGCTAAGAACCTCCTCCACTCCTCCCATGTGCCTCGCCTATGTCTCTCCAACTCCTTACCGCTGCGAATGAGTGCCCAATACTCACGACTTCCCCGCACACCTCGCGCAATACCATACCCTGTCTTTCCGCACAATTGCCCGGTTCCCGTGCGTCATGGAGCTTTCCCCATGCATCCCCGTTTCTGATGCATCGTGTGTACACCAAGTCCGTGATATCCCCTAGTTCCTTACCATAACATAAAGTCTCCGTTTTTTTTCCTCATCTCGTCTCATCCCGACTCCTGTCTCCTCCCTCCCGCTCCCCGTTTCCCGCCCCCAGCGGCTGTCTGTATCAGCATGGCGCTCTCCCGCTCCGCGTCCCCGGCGCCGTCGCGCGTATCCGGGCGCATGTTCCGCCCCTCACTGCCCTCCGCGGGCTCCTTCTTCTCCGCGCGCTCCTCCTCTTCCTCCGCCCGCGCGTCTTCCCCCTCGTCCTCCTCCGCTCACTCTCACACCGCTGCCGCAAGCGCCACCAGCGCAATGGCTTCCACCGCCGCTGCTGCGCCCATGGGTCCGCCGGCATCCCTCATGCCCCCCGCGTCCCTCCCGCGCCATTCCTCCCCCGTGCGCTCCTATTCCTCCTCCCACTCTGTTCCGACCACCCCCCGCCGATCCAACCTCCAGCAGCTCGCGCAACTCATCGCCTCCCCGCAGCTTGCGCGGGCTCAGCATCCCGCGCCACCCCCTCCGCACCCCATGGCTCTCTCTTCTTCCGCCAACGTTGGCCCTTCCCCGTCAGGTTCCCCCCGAACGAGTTCCCCAATTCCCAGCTCCCCCAAGCACAGCTATCCGCAGGCTTCTTCCCCCCATCCCGCTTCCCCTCATCCGAGTTCCCCACGCCATAACCCCCCCTATGCGCTGTCCGCATTTCCGGGAAGCGGGGGCTCTTTCTCCCGTCCAATCTCCCCCGGCCCCGCGCGTCCTGGCACCCCGCGGACCGCGTCTTCCGCCTCTAACTCGGGCGCGAATTTTGTCGGGGGAGCGTTCGGGCCCACCCGAGGAGTTCCGGGAATGATAACAGTCGCGACTTCCGTTGCGCCCCCCACGCCCATGAACGGCGGAGGAGGGGGAGGAGGCGGAGTGGGGGGATCTACGACGGGGGGATACTCGGCGCAGTCGTCCGTCTTAGCCGCGCCGCCGACGTATGCGCGCTCCAACAGCCACACCATCGGCCACAGCACCACGGCGGCGGTTTCTGCGGCGGTTGCGGCGGCGGCGGGAGCGGCGGCGCACGCGCACCCGGGACACGTGCACGGCGCAGGAGGACCGCAAGGGGGGCCGCACTTTTACGGGCACGTCGGGGGGGTCCCCTCGTCCCCGTCTGCGTCCTCCGCTGCCCTCCGCCCCCACGACCACCACCACCATTACCCGTCCGCCTCCGCTGCCGCTTCCCCTGTGCCCTCCGCTTCCGCCGCGCCCGCGAGCGCCACTCCGCCCGGCAGAACGCACTCGCTTTCCTCAGCGCAGCGCCGGCTGCTGTCGTCCGTCGATGCGCTGCTGGCCGCTGCCGCCGTGGCAGGCGGCGTGGGGAACATCGGCAGCAGCAGCACCCCTGACACGTCAGCATCATCATCGCGCGCGGCTCGAGCCGCCAGCATATCGGCAGCGGCGCTTTCGTCATTTTATCCTCCTAGCCCCAACAGCAATGGTAGATCGACGGCCACCGTGTCTGCCGTTCCGCCTTCCGTCATCCCCTCTCCCCCGTTCAAGCCCGCTTCCCCTCCCCTGGCTCCGCTACCAGCTCTGGTCCTCCCCCCTATCCGCATCCCCGCGCGGCAATCCCCAACTCCCTCGGCCTCCGCCGCGTCCCCGCGCGGCCCTTCCGCATCCGCGTCTACTTCCGCAGCCTCCGCCGTCCCCCAGTCTCCTCTCCGCATGGCCTTTGCCTCCCCGAGTGGCGGCGGCGGCGGCAGCAGCGCCAATGCAAGCGCGCCGAGCAGCGACAAGCGCGCGGCTGCTGCTTCAGGACACGTGGCAGCTCCTCCGCAGAGGAAGGAGACGAAGCCCGCCGATCAATACGTACCGTACCACACCCTGACCGGACCTCCTCAATCCGCTGTCGCAACGGCGGCGGTGGCGGCGGCGGCGGGGACAACGCAGCCTCAAGCACACGCAGCTTCCGGCGCAACAAGCGGCGAGACATCCGCAACGACAGCCTCCAAGACGGCAGTAGCACGAGGTGCTCCTGGCGGCGCACCAAGCTCCGCCACCATCGGAGGCGCTCTGGCAGCAGCCGCAGCAGCGGGAACGGCGGCGGCGCCGGCGGCGGCGAGGGGAGTGGACTCCGCGGCGATGGCGGGAAGCGGAAGCATCAGCAAGACGTGGATCCTGGACGCGGCGGGAGGCGCGGGGATGGGCGGAGGGTCTATGGGCAGTGCCACGTCAGCAATGGCGGTGGGGGTGGTGGAGGATCCGATGCCTAACTGGGACCCCACGGACGACCGCCTTAGCAGCGTCGCCGGCAGCGACAAGGTCGCGCCTGGGGGAGGCATGTCTGCGGATAAGCGCGGCGGCGCGGGAGGGGGAGGAACGGTAACGTGGGGCGGAGTGATCGGCGGAGGCGGAATGGTGGACCGGCGGGAGGTGGCGCGGAAGTGGGTTGCTGGACACGCGGCGCCTGGGGAGCAGGGACCCATCAGCGGAGGCGGCGGAGGGATTGGCGGAGGAGTTTGCGGAGGCAGCGGCATGGGCGGGGCGTACGGGAACGCTTTTTACCGCATGGGGCGCACGCGCGCGTGGGCGACGCGGCGGGCGGGCACCGCGGTGCTGCGGCACGGCGCGCTGGTGTGCCTGCGGTGGGGGAAGGACAAGCTGCTGGCGGCCGTCGAGGCCAACGGACGGTGAGCTTAGCTTAGCTTAGCTTAGCTTAGCTTAGCTTAGCTTAGCTTAGCTCAGTTGGAGATAATTTTGTACTTCCGTTGAATCACGATCCTTCTGATTGACGGCTTTTAACGAGGCATCCGTTACGATGTGCGCGCGTTAGGCACTCACGTGATTGTCTCTCTCTTTCTCTTGCGCGCCGTCTCCCCCCCTTCGCCGGCACTCCGCCAAAGGTGGGAGCTCGGCGCTGTGCCGCTCCCCGCTCTCGACGACTCCGCGCAGTCGCCAGACGCGGCCACCGCGGTTGGCGCAGGCGCGCGTGCTGCTGCGGGCGGAGGCGGCGGAGCCGCGGGAGCGGAACCCCCCGCAACATCAGCATCGCCGTCATCACTACCGGCCTCGGCGGTGCCAGGGTCGTCGTGCGGGGGAGTGCCGCTCGAGGGCGTGTTTGTGCTGGTGTGCTTCGGCGGCGGGCGCGTGGGGCTGCGCTCCGTTGCCGCGGACGGGCGCTGCCTCTCCGCCACTTCGTCGCTCGCCTCCGCGCACTACTTCGCGGGATGGTACGGGGCGGGGGTCGGGCGAAGGAATGGGGGTTGGGGAGGGGGGTGAGGAGACAGGGGGAAGTGATAGGCAGGGAAGGAGCGAGGGAGGGTAAGATAGCATGCGAGAAAGGAAGGAGAAGGGACGCGGATGGTGGAATGGCCTCCAAATCGCCTGCCTTGCTATGCGGCAGTCTCCCATGCTCTCCCATGCTCTTAAGTGCCCACTTTTTTCCTGTCTCACCACTCCCCCTTGCTCGCCCCTCCCTCGTTGCTCTGCGTGCCTTGCCCCGCACCCCCCCCTCCCCCCCCCTCAGCATCCTTGTTCCGTCCTCTCACACTTCTCCCTGTCTGCCCCTCTCCCTTTCCCCCCACCCTTCCTTACCCCATTCCTCCCTCCCACTCCTCTCCCCTCCCACTCCTCTCCCCTCCCACTCCTCTCCCCTCCCACTCCTCTCCCCTCCCACTCCTCTCCCCTCCCACTCCTCTCCCCTCCCACTCCTCTCCCCTCCCACTTCTCTCCCCTTCCGCTCCTCTCCCCTCCCGCTCCTCTCCCCTCCCTATCTCCCCCGCCTCCCCTTCTCCCGCTTCCTGCACCCCTCCCTGTGCGCGCATCAGGTGTTTCCAGGAGACCGAGGTGTGGGCCATGCCCCCGGACCTCTCCTCGCTCCCCACCCCCCCCGCCGCGGACAAGGGGGGAGCGGGAGGCGCGCAGGGGCCCGGGCAGCCGCCGCCGCCGCAACAACCAGGGGCGGTCGGAGCAGGGGCAGGCGGAGGAGGCGGGGGGGCGGGGGGAGGAGGAGGGGGGGAAGTGGAGGTGGGGGGATGGTGCGAGGAGCTGGGAGGGGTGCTGGAGGGTGCGGTGCTGCTGAGCAGCGTGCTGCATCCAACGGTGGTGATGCAGGTACACGTGCAGGGCGTGGCGGCGCTCTCCCACCGCTCCTGGCGCCACACCCAGAACGAGGCCAGCGCTGCCAACAGGCTCAGGGGGCAGGTGAGGGGGATGGGGGAGGGACGGGCTGGTTGCTGGGGGAGTGGGTTTTCGGGGAGAGGGTTTTGGGGTAGTGGGGTTTGGGGGAGTGGGGTTTGGGGGAGTGGGGTTTTGGGGGAGTGGGGTTTGGGGGAGTGGGGTTTGGGGGAGTGGGGTTTGGGGGAGTGGGGTTTGGGGGAGTGGGGTTTGGGGGAGTGGGGTTTTGGGGGAGTGGGGTTTTGGGGGAGTGGGGTTTGGGGGAGTGGGGTTTTGGGGGAGTGGGTTTGGGGGAGGGAGTGGGGTTGGGGGAGGGAGTGGGTTTTGAGGGAGTGTGGTTTGCAGGAGTGGGGTTTGGGGGAGTGGGTTGCTAAGAAAAGGGGGCATCAGCTCCTGCCCTGGCTTGCTTGTGCCAACTGCCTCTGATTTCAAGGATTCTAAAGTTTCGGCTGTTGGCTCCTACTCTTGATCCTGTTTGTCATCTGCTGCTGCCTTTGGAGTCCTGATATCCTCCCTTCTACAAGTCTCTCCATTTCCTCTCCTAACCTCCCACCCCTCCCCTCTCCCAATCTCTTCTTCCCAATCCCCAAGCCTCCTCCCCTCCCCTTCTCCCAATCCCCCCACCCTGACCGCTCTCTCTCGCCCCATCTCTCCCTGTCCCCCCCTCCCTCGCCCTTCCCCAGGTGCTCCAACTGAGGGACAGGGTGCGGCTGTTAGAGGCATCGGAGACAGTGGCAGCCACGGCAGCAGCAGCTGTCGCAGCAAGGGAGGCGGGGACTGGGGCAGGTGGCACCTCACTGCCCGTGCTCCTGTGCTCCTGTTCCGGCAAGGCTGCAGGAAGTCGTGACGGGAGGGGCAATGCTGCTGCTGGTGGTGCTGGTGGTGGTGGCGCTGCTGCTGCTGCTGCTGCTGATGCTGCTGCTGCTGCTGCAAGTGCTACTGGAGGGGGTGGTGGTGGCGGTGCTGCTGCTGCTGGTGCTGATGGGAGGTGTCTGACTTGTGGTCTGTTCGTGGCCACTGCTGCTGCTGCTGCCGGGGGCAACAATGCCTTCATCACCACCATTGCGAATCTTAAAGCCAGAGGTAGGCTGGTTCTCCAAGCGGCCTAGCAATGCCAGGCTGTGTTTGTAAGCCTTTTGCTGGTCTGGTCTTGTTGTTTGGAGAGCATTGCCCTTTCTTTCCTTACCCTTCTGCTCCCTTTCTTCTCACATCACATGCACTCGTTTTCCGCTGCTGCTTTCTCCTCCCCTTCCTTCCACGCCTGCTTTCCCCTCTCCCCTCCCTTATCTCCAATCCCGCTCTCTCCTTTCCCCTCCCCCTTCCCTCGACCTCCTCTCCTTCTGTTGCCCTTAACGTATGCCTGATTTTTCTATTTATCTTTCCATTTCTCTCCTGAGCGCCATCTGGCTTCCACTTTCTCTCCCTCTACCTACCCCCCTCCAGTGTCCCAGCTGGAGGAGGAGCTAAGGGCCAAGACCCATCTCTCCACCAACTCCTCCCCCGCGCCTTCCATCGCCTCCTTCTCCTCTTTCTCATCCTCCTCTTCCTCCGCCACCTCCGATTCCGCGCGCGGGGGCTTCCCCCACTCCGCCTCCTCGCTCCGCCCGCCGTCCCTCCCCCCGGCGCTGGCGGACCTGGAGCGCCGCGCACTGCAGGCGGAGGCGGAGAAGGCGGCGCTGCAACAGCAGATAGAGGAGCTGCTGGCGGGGAAGCGGTTGGCGGAAGCGGGGCTCCTTGCGGCCAAGAGAGCGGCGGAAGCGGAGGCGGAGCGGGCGGAGCTCGCGCGCAAAGCGCTGGCGCAGGCGGAAGTGAAACGGGCGGCCACGCGCAGGGCGGAGGAGGAGGCGGACGAGCGGCGGAGCCAGCAGCGCGCGGGGAATGCGAGCAGAGAAAGGGGCAGGTGGCGCGGAGAGAGAACCACGGAGCGGGCGGGTGGAGGTGGGGAGTTTGGCGACGGTAGGGGGAGTGGGATGGCGGGCGGACGCGCAAGGAGAGGGGAGGAGGCGGAGGCGGAGACGCAGGCAGAGGCGCAGAGGGTGGAACTGATGGAAGAGCTGAAGAGAGAGGCGGAAGAGCTGAGGAGACGGCTGAGAAGCATGGAGGGCAAGGTGAGTGAGTCGCTGGGAGGGCAAGGTGAGACTCATGTTGACCCTAAATCCTTCCTCCCTTCCCTCTCTCGCGTATTAACGTGCACTGTGTATACACGTAGCTCTCCTACTTGCGCGTTCACTCACTCACTCATTCTGCCTGTCTTGCCCACATCAGGCGTCAGACGGCATGCTGGGAGCTCTGCAGCACAAGATAGAGCGGCTGGAGCGCATGCACGCACACCCAGGGGGGGCGGACGCTGCTGCTGGTGCTGCTGCTGCTGCTGCTGCGGTTCAAATGCCACCACCATTGCCATCATCGATACCACCATCCAAACACCTTCCCCGTGCAGCTTCAGCTTCAGCATCCCACCGGCAGTCATTCTCCCCTCCACCGCACTCTCCCCCTCCTCTTCCCCTCTCCGCCAACCATCCTTCCGCCGCGGCTGGGTCCCCCCCTCCCCCTCTCTCCCTCTCCTCCGCCGCTTCCCCCTCTTCCAGCGCTCGTTCCGCGCACACGGAGGGCGGGGGCTGGGGAGAGGCGGACGGGCGGAGGGAGCGGGAGGGGGGAAGGCGGAGTACCCAGCGAGAGGAGCGAGAGAGGGCGTCTGAGTGGAGTCAGAAGTCGGCTCATGAGGAGGGACGGAAGGCGTGGGAGAGGGAGCGGGAGGAGCGGAAGCGGCAGGAGGAGGCGGAGCGTGAGAGGGAGAGGGAAAGGGAGAGGGAGAGAGAGGGGGAGCGCGGGCGAAGGATCGCAGAGAGAATCCTGGAGAAGGAAAGGGAGAGGGAAAGAGAGAGAGCGAGGATGATGAGGAGGCTGAGGAGCCCGCAGGAAGCAGCGGCGGCAGAGGCCGCAGCGGAGGAGATGCGAGTGCGCGTGCACCAGGGGAGCGACAACCTTGGGCTGGACGCCTTCTGCCGCATGCACAGCCAAGGGAGCTTGCATGGCAGCATGCAGGGGAGCCTCCAGGGGAGTCTGAAAGGGAGGCTAGGGGATGTTATAGGAGGTGTCAATGGCGGGAGTGGCAGTTGGGGGGGAGGAGGGGGAGGGGGAGGGGGGAGGGGAGGTGACGGTGGTGGTGATGGTTGTCATGGGGGTGGGAGAGGAAGAGGCGGCGAAAACGACAGTAGCAAGGAAGATTTTGGCAGTGGTCGTGGCTCTGCTGCTGCTGCTGCTGGCAGCAGCGGTAGAGGGCTGGCACGACAGGCACCAGCAGGAGGAGGAGGAGAAGAAAGGGGTGGAGTACGGTGCAGTGTGGAGGAGGGCGTGCTGAGCTCGCTGTTTGAGCCCGTGCTTCAAAAGAGGTCCGAGAGCTCGTGTGACGGGGACGAGTGTGACTCTATGGGGCGAGTGAGGGGGAGGGGGAGAGGGAAGGGGGAGGAGGGAGTGGGAGGGAGTGAGGATGAGAGTGCGGTGGATGAGGAGTTAGAGGAGGCGAGGACGGAGCATGGATGGGTGCTCAAGGCTGTGATGGGAGGGGAGGAGAGAGAGGGGGAGAGGGAGGAGGAGAGCGAGAGGGAAGAGGAGAGGGAGAGGAAAGAGCAGAGGGAGAGGGAAAGGAGTGGGTGGAGCTGGAGGCATGGGAGCAAGGAGGAGGGAAGGGTGAGTGAGGTGGAGAGGGAGTGGACGGCCTATGCAGGAATGGGCACGTCTGGTGGGAGGGTGGAGGCGTGGGAGGGGTGGAAGAGACGGGAGGAGAGTAATCAAGCAGACGTAAGACCGGTTGCAGCTTCATCTGCATCCGCTGCAGAAAGCGCACCAGTCGGAAGGCCGTGGAGTGCTGCGGCTGCTGGATCAACGAGGGCTGAGGCGGGTGGTGGCGTTGCAGGCAGCAAGGCAGGTGTCCGCACTTACACTGGTGCTGCTGCTGCTGCTGCTGGCTCTGGTGCTGCTGCTGCTGCTGGTTCTGGTGCTGCTGCTGGCAGTGCTGGTGGCAGCTCGGTGGCAGGAGCAGAGGATGTGGGGGATGGAGGAAGGGGAGGTGAGAAGCGGACTGGCGGATGGGGGAAATGGTCCAAGGGGTCCCGAGGCAGGGAGGAGGCAAGTGGTGGTCTTAGCAACGGAGATGCCTGCAGAATTGGCAGCGACGCAGCAGCAGAAACAACAGCAGGCGCAGGCAGAGGAACGGCAGCAGCTGCAGCGGATTTCAGGGCTGGAAAACAAGGAAGCACCCAGGAGCATTCGAGCCGCGGCATAAGCAGAGGGAGCAGCAGGGGCAAGTGGTCGGCTGGCGGTGGTGGTGCTAGGGAACAGGCCACTGGGGAGCGTGCAACAGGGGAAAGAGGAACGGTCGGGAGAGGAGGGGTGAGCAGCAGCGGCAGTGACAGGGCAGATGGCAGCAGCGGTGGCACTAGCAGCATGGCAAGACCAGCAAACGGCGCAACCAGAAGCACTGGCGAATCCCAATCCATGCCTGTTTCTCCCCGCCTGACTTCCGCCCCTGCTGCTGCAGCAGCTGGTGCAGATCGAGCAAGGGAAGGGATGTCCAGAGCATCTCAAAAGGCGGCACTCAGAGGGGGGAATGAAGGGGCGCCTGGTGAAGCTGGTGAGGGTTGGGATCTGCGACACGGACGTGTGGTGTTGTGTGGGGGAGATGCAATGGAGGGGAGGGAAAGAGGCAGAGAGCAAGAGCGGCTGGGGCATGGCTGGCCGAGTGCAGATGCTGCTAGTATTGCTTCAACTCTTGAGGCGGCTCAGAAGCCAGCACCAGCACCAGCACCAGCAGCATCAGCATCAGCATCAGAATCTGGAGTCACAACGCCTTATTTATCTCTCACCACGGACTCTCGCATTGCAGCTGGTAGCAGACGGGTGGCCGAGCCCTCAGCTGACGTCTCTGCTGCTGCCCCCATCTCCTCCTCCTCGCCTCCAGTGCCTTATTTATCCCCTCCCTCCCACTCCGTTGCAACAACAACATCAGCAGCAGCAGCAGCAGCCGCAGCAGCCGCAGCAGCAGGTGACTCTGAGGGAAACCATCCAAGCACAGTTCGAACTGCTGCTGCTATATGCAGCAGAGGTATTGCAACCAGTGACGCCGCAAGCTCACCTGCAAGTGTTGCCACCAATCCAAGCAGCACTGCCACCACTGCCACCGCAAGCAATACGAGCACTCTGGGCGCTACTGGCACTACGGCGCCCGGAGGCCGGTCCTCTCTGAGTGCGTCGCTAGCAGCCACGGACCTGGGCCCCTCCCTCAAGCAGCGCATCCTGCTGCTGCAGCAGCGAATGAACGCTATGCAGGCCGCAGCAACTGCTGCAGCAGCTGCAGCAGCCGCAGCGGCTGCACCTTCCTCCTCCGCTCCTTCTGGCTCCGGTCGGTTATCACCCACCTCAGTTCTACCCTCCCAGGGTGTTACCGGCACCAGCAGCGCCACCAGCTCTCCTGGTACTGTTTGGTTGAACGGTGGTGGTCAGGGTGGTTCGGCCCCTCTCTCCCCTGACCTGAGAGTGCACAGCGGAAGGAGTTTGAGTATCACCAGCAGCAGCAGCACGAGCACCAGTGCGACTGCTGCTGCTGCTCCTGCCAGCAGCGGCAGCAGTAGTAGTGGTGGTGGCAGCGGCGCCAGTGGTGGCGGTAGCAGTGGTGGCAGTGGTTATGTTGGCGTCCCTGCGAGTCAGAGCAACAACGGAATTGGTAGGGCGACTGGCAGCAGTGCCATTGGCAGTGGCAGTGGTGGTTCGATGGTTGGGGAGGCAGGCAAGGCACGAGGTACATCGGTTGTGCGGCAATACTAGCAGATGGGTAGTGGATGGTGAGTGGATGGGGATGGGGCCTGCTGGGAGGAACGTGATGTGATGCGAGGCGTGACGAAGACAGGGTGCTGCCAAGAGCAAGGCCAACTCGTTATGGGCACCGCTCATCCTGCCATTCCTCACTCTCCTCCCTTCCCCATCTCTCCCCCCACCACCCACCCATCCCCCACACCCCCCCCCTCCCCCTCCCCTCCTTCCTTCCCCTAACGCTTTCTTTCTCTCATGCCCTATACCATCTGTTATGGGGATCACTCCCACCTGCATGTTGTGTGTTTTGTGGGGTAGGGGGCTGGATTGGAGTGAGCAGTGTGTGTTTGCACATGTTTGTATGCATAGAAGGAAGAGAAATGCAGGAATTGTGGAGAATTCGGATGACTGGAGTGGGGTGGCAGAAGGTGTTGGATGGTGGATAGGTAGTTAGGGAAGGAGGGTGTGGTGGGTGAGGGGTGGTTGAAAGGGGGGGCTGTCATTGAGTGAGTGAGACACACATATGGCCGTTATGTTCACAGTTTTGTGACTAATACCGTATTAGCCTGGATATAAGACCCATGGGTCTTATCACATACCGTTGAGAAATAATCCAAATGGTCCTAGATCCAGGGGCAAAAAACTGGGTTACCATAAGATAAGCGCCTTATAGAAGACCCAGGGTCTTCTATTACTAGGGGGTCTTATATCTGGGCGTTTACGGTAAGTAGAATCGATACCTCGCAAAGATGCTTGTATGGTACCTCGCAAAACCATAGAAGTGAGCTCTACTTGTTGTGCTTGTCCCATAATAAAACCAACAGATTCTTGCAAAATGGTACAGAAATACGTACAATAATCACAGCAGCATAAACAAAGCTCAATAATCCATTGAAATCCTAGCATTGGCTCAGAGGTCCACTAGAGCAATACCGGTAAGTAAAAAATTCTCAACTCCCAACCGTGTCTTCAAACCAGGCACATGATTAGAGCAGGTAATGCTCCGCGCTGCTGCGGCAGCAGGACGCACACATGTCACCACCCTGCCATGCCATGTGTCACCTCCCTCCCTCCCAGATGCATGCCCCATCACCTGCCCTCCAGCTTCCTCTCCCACTCGCGCGCCTCCAGGTCCTGCTCGGCCATGTCCTTGGCTGTGGTATAGATCACCTTGTCCTCCGACACCACTGTGCTGCGCGCCTGCTCCCGCGCGTTCGCCAGCTGGAGGGGAAGTTGGGCGGGTGAGGGGGGAGGTGGGGGTGAAGAGAAGGATAATCAGTGGGGAACGCTGTACATCACATTGTTCTCTGAAACCGCTGTGCTGCGCGCGCGCCTGCTCGCGCGCATTCGCCAGCTGGCATGGGGTGGGGAAGGGGGGAAGGGGGGCAGAGGGGTGAAGGGAAAGGGAGTGAGGTGACTTTTGAGCCGACTCCAAAGACTGCTTACACACGTTCGCCAGCTGGCATGGGGTAGGGAAGGGGGGAGGAGAGGGGAAGAAGGGGCGGGGGGGGAGGTTTGAAGGGAAGGGGGATCAGAAAAAAAATGCTGTGAACCGCCTTCCCCTACGACAGACACCACTGAGCTGCGCGCCTGCTCCTGCGCGTTTGCCAGCTGGTATGGGGTAAGGAAGTGGGGGAGAGGGAAGGGAAAGGGAATGCTGTAGAGCAGCCTGTCCTTCAACATCTCTGTGCTGCACGCTTGTTCCAGGGAATTTGCCAGCAGTGTTTGGTAGGGGGGGGGGGGGGGGGGAGAGGGAAGGTAAAGGGAATGGGGATCAGAGTGGAATGACAAGAGAGTGGGGTGTGTGGAGGGGGAGAGTGGGGGGGGAATAGGAAGGGAATGCCTGTAGATCACCCGATGTTCCCTCACCAATGTGCTGCGTGCCTGCTGCGATGCATTGGCTTGGCCGGCTAGTAAGGGCCAGTGAAGGGAAAGAGCAGGGATTGAAGGAGAACGAAGGGGAACGAAAAAGAAGAAACAGGGGGTTGGAAGGGGAGTGCAGGAGAAGGGGAGGAGGAGGGGGCATGAAGCACGCCCGCAGAACTTTGCCTGCCACCTTTGCAATAGTTGAACCGACCCCTCGCTGCTACCTCCATCTGCTATTACAAAGATTGGATTTTGAGACGTCTCAAAAGGAAATTACTCACCCTCGCTGCTACCTCCATCTGCTACTACAAAGATTGAAAAACTTTGGCATGCAGAACATTGCATACTCTTGCTATCTCCTGCACACCGTCCACCAACTCATGCCTTTGAATTGGACTGAAATGAGGTTACGAAATTATGAGTGTTACGAAATTATTTAAATAAATAAATAAATAAAAACCTCCTCACCTTGCGTCTGAGCTGTGCGTTGGGCTGCGCGAGCTGCTGAGCGCTCTGCTGGCGGCGTGCGTTGCGCTCCGCTATGGCCTCGTTGGCACGCTGCTGCCACAGGTATCGCACTGCAGGGATGGTAAAGAACACCGCCGCATAGCCCTGGGTTGGGGGGGAGGGGGGGGTGGGAGGCGATTTTTTAGGCGCCTCAACAATCTGCCACAGGTAGCACACCGCAGGGATGGTAAATAACACTGCCGTATAGCCTGGGGGGTGGGGGAGGATGGAAGGGGGGGAGAAGGAGAGGGGCAGAGAACGGGAGGGACAGAGAAGGGGAGCGGGATGAGGAAAGGGAGGGAGAGGGGGGTGGGGAAAAATAGAGGGTGAAGGAGAAGGGATGCGAAGGAAGGCAGAAGGGGAAAGTATGAGCAAGGAAAAGGAAGGGGGGGGGGTGTGCGGTAGGAGGGAGAGAGAGAGGCCATTCGGTTGCAATTGGAGCAAGCAGGTTGTGGAGAGCAAGCGGGCTGTGGAGAGCAAGCGGGCTGTGGAGAGCAAGCGGGCTGTGGAGAGCAAGTGGGCTGTGGAGAGCAAGCGGGCTGTGGAGAGCAAGCGGGCTGTGGAGAGCAAGCGTGGGTTACCTGCAGCCATGGCATGAGGGAGGAGATGAGGCTCACAAACTCCACTCCTGCCTCCCGCACCACCGCTGGATCGCTGTGGGGGGACAGACAGACACATACACATACGCATAGACACATACATACACATAGACACATAGACATAGTTAGAAGGAAACTAGACAGGCCCGTGGGGATAGAGGAGCAAAAGGGTTGGTCGGGAGGAGGCGGCATGTGAGAGGGCAGAATGCTTTGAAAATATGGTTAGTCGTTCGATGGCCTACGCTGAGTTGAAACGACATGAGAAGAATTAACCAGCACTCACTAGAGCTCTTTGGTCAATGACACGACCTTAGGAGCGAGGAGACTTCTGAATCGACTCAAAAGAGCTCATTAGAGCTCATTGGTTAATGACACGACCCGAGGAGCGACACAGTAACGCGGCGACGTATTTGGCGTTCCATCGGACTCATTGGTTAATGACACGACCTGAGGAGCGAGGAGAGCCAGACGACCCCCACCACGTTGACCACACCAAGCCCTGCTGCTAGCGTGCGCTTCCATGCTGGCGCCTCACTGGGGGATGGGGAGGGGAGACGGGCGGAGGAGGAGATGGAAGGCGAGGGGAAATGAAAGGGAGAGCGGAGATGAAAGGGCGGCGCGCTAAAAGCTGACCCAACAGCTTTTTTCGGAAACAGACTGCTTAAGTTCTGGGAAATATAAGAGAGGCCAGCTGGGGAGGACAGCTGTCAATTCTTCCATTGTTAGGGATAGGCAGGGATAGGCAGGGATAGGCAGGGCGGGAGGGAGAGGAGAGCGAGGTAGAGGGTCGAGAGGGGAGAGGGGGAGAGAGGCGTGAGAGAAGGGCGAGAGAGGAGCAAGAGAGGGGAGAGAGAGGGGCGAGAGAGGGGCAAGAGAGAGAGGGCGACAGTGAAGGCGAAAGTGAGGGAAGAGTGGGGGAGAAAAGAGAAGGGGGAGAGAGGGGGGCGAAAGAGAGGGGGGAGAGAGCCTAGACCTTGCATGCCTTGCTGTGCTAGCTTGTTCCCACGGTTAACATCAATGCACACACCGCTTGAGAGGGAAAACAAGAGGCGCGTGCACCCCACCTGAAAGTCTACAGGTCCTCAGCAACATAGCGCGCCTGCTGCCGGGGGTCCAGCGCGGGGTTCTGAGACGTCTCAAGACCACATCATTATCACATGGAGACAGCAAGCGAGAGGCAAGAGGCGAGAGGCGAGAGGCGAGAGGTGAGAGGCGAGAGGTGAGAGGCGAGAGGTGAGAGGCGAGAGGCGAGAGGCGAGAGGTGAGAGGCGAGAGGCGAGAGGCGAGATGCGAGAGGCGAGAGGCGAGTGAGGCGAGAGGCGAGTGAGGCGAGAGGCGAGAGGCGAGAGGCGAGTGAGGCGCACCTGAAGGCCCAGAGGTTCTCGGCGAAGTAGCGCGCCTGCTGCAGGGGGTCCAGGGCGGGGTTGAGCTGCACGCGGCGCTGTCCTGCAGCATCGCTGGCCGTGCGCTGCAGCAGCGGGAAGGTGTAGAGGATGTTGCCCTGCCAGACACCCACAGATGGCGCGGAATGGATGGAGATGAAAGGGTGGGGTGGGCGGGACGGGAAGGATGGAGGGGCAAGTGGATGGAGGGGCAAGTGGATGGCACGACATGGTGCTGCAGCGGATGGTACTTTGGTTTGTAGTTGCTGGAGTGCATGGGCGTGGTAAGTCGCTGTGGTTGATTAATCACGTGGGCATGTTTGTTGGAACGACCATTTGCATTGGAGTGGTCACGTGCATGGGCATTCACAAATGCTTCAGCAGAGGATTTCTCACTCAAGGCACCCTGCGGTGCAAGTAGGTGGAGGTGACATGACAGCACACGCACACGAGGAGGGGGGAAGGTAGTTTGCTGGTCAATTATCACATGCACAAGAGTCTGTAACCACCAACCATGCACCACCCATGCACCCATGAATGGCGCATGCCTAGCGTATGGCTGACCCATGCACTTTTGAGTCATGTCTTACCTGTGGGTCTACTTCCGGGCTTCCATCAAACCGCTGCAGCACCGGCAGCATGAAAGACTCGTCCGACTGCGCGTTACACCACATGCACATGCACCATGCACCATGCCACATGCACCATGCACCGTGCACCATGCCATATGCACCATGCCACATGCCACATGCCAAATGCCACATTAACCATGCCACATGCCACATAATCATGGGCATGAAAGGGAGTATTGGGAAAGGTCGATATGAGGCTACACGCTTGACTGGGCAGCAGAATGGTTGTTGCATGAAATGCTGATAGCAGCACAAGAGCAGGCGCTGGAGAGCAGGACATCACACTTCGTGCCCCGTTCAGAATACGAGACTCGATTCCATAACTTGGGACTCCACTGCAACTACACATGCCGCCTGCGCTCAAGCATCATTATCAAATCAATCATGATAACCACACCACACCACGAACATGCATCGCACCGGTTGAGGAAGGGAAGGGACCTGCTTTTAGAGAGTAGACAAGAATCAAGGGGAGCAGGAATGGGGACTCACGGTGTCAGCAGGGAGGTCGAGGAAGGGCGCGATCTCCTGAGCGGCCACCACACCGCCTCGGCTCGCAATCACATCTCCCACCTGGTGGTATGGTGGTGGGGCATGCCGCATGGTTGTTTGTGGAACTTAGAGGCGCTGCTGGCGCTGCTGGTGGCATATAGGGTACGTGTGTGTACCTGGCGATGGTTGATGGTTCATTCATTGGTGGACGGTGGATGGTGGATGGCAGTGCCACAGCCAGCCATGGCCATGCTTTTAAGCCGTGGCTCAAAAGTTGACACTACCATGGCTATGAGGGGGGATGTGTATGGGGATGCACAGGTGGTGTACAGGGGGTGGTGGTAGACCACGGGTGGAGTGAGATTTCAACCAGGGCCATGGAGAAAACAACATCATGCATGGCTCCATGGGGATATGGGGGCATGAGTGCATGTGTGCATGGTGTGCATGTCTGCATGTCTGCGTATGTGCATGTGTGCATTTCTGCATGTGCGCTTTTGGGGGCAAACGCCTCACCAGTTGCCATCTAGCTTCGTCCCTGCCCTCATTGGGGTCGCCATCCCCAAACACGAAGGAGAACACCTGCACTCAGGGCAAGGGAACAGCAACGCACAGCAACACACAGCAACACACAGCAACACACAGCAACACACAGCAACACAGCAACACACAGCAACACACAGCAACACACAGCAACACACAGCAACACACAGCAACACACAGCAACACAGCAACACACAGCAACACACAGCAACACACAGCAACACACAGCAACACAGCAACACACAGCAACACACAGCAACACACAGCAACACACAGCAACACACAGCAACACACAGCAACACACAGCAACACAGCAACACACAGCAACACACAGCAACACACAGCAACACACAGCAAAAAAAAAGCAACACACACACACACAGCAACACACAGCAACACACAGCAACACACAGCAACACACAGCAACACACAGCAAGCAACACACAGCAACACACAGCAACAAACAGCAACACACAGCAACACACAGCAACACAGCAACACACAGCAACACACAGCAACACACAGCAACACACAGCAACACACAGCAACACACAGCAACACACAGCAACACACAGCAACACACAGCAACACACAGCAACACACAGCAACACACAGCAACACACAGCAACACACAGCAACACACAGCAACACACAGCAACACACAGCAACACACAGCAACACACAGCAACACACAGCAACACACAGCAACACAGCAACACACAGCAACACACAGCAACACAGCAAACACACAGCAACACACAGCAACACAGCAACACACAGCAACACACAGCAACACACAGCAACACACAGCAACACACAGCAACACACAGCAACACACA